ATTTTAAAACCACATTGAAAAAAAAAGACTTTCCAATTTCTTTATTCTCTCAAAATATGACCCACCAATTACATTTCTAGGTATTTACCCAAGATTATCAAGCTGTCTTCCAAAATGTCTGTACCTTTTTGTATACCAAAAAGCAATGAATTAGAGTTATAATTCTCCACATCTTCACCAGCATTTGGTGGCAGTGTTGTTTTGGATTTGGCTGTTAATGGCTGGGGCATTTCACTGTTTAAATTTGCAATTCTTTAGTGACATATAATGTCAAGTGTCTCTCCATATGCTTATTTGCCATCTATATGTCTGTTTTTTAGTGAGTTATCTGTTAGGTTGTTGGCCCATTTTTAATCAGTTTGGTTTTTTTTTCAATTGTTTTTACAGAGTTATTTGTGTATTTGGATAAGTCCTTTATTAGATATTTCTTTTGGAAATATTTTACTCCTTCTCATAGGTAGTCTTCTTATTCTCTTGATATATGTCTTTTCAAAGAGCCTCAGCTTTACTTGAGGCAATGGTCATCAAAGTGTGTATATTTGTGTTTTTATAATTTATATGCATACATTCCTGTGAAAAGATATTGTATGCATTATTCAACATATACAAATATAAAAAAGATATAGTAAAGAAATATCTATTTTTAAATTTATAAATGTATTTATTGGGGCTCCAAGTTGCAAACTAAATAATTACTTTGGCTAATTTAAGGAATTAAACTATATTAGAGGCTCTCATTTATTAGGATGACTGTAGAACCAGTCTTTTGCAGGCTATTAGTGAATCATAACCCTAGGGCTTCACTGCTACCCCCACTGACACCTCTGACACTTGAAACTAGAGGCTAGATATCTGCCAGTGCTGATAGAAAATAATTGAATAGCTTTGCTAGATAATAGAAAAGAATCAAATGACTCTGCCACCTTGCTTGCCAGAAGATTGTGTTTCTCATTTGTGACCTCTTGGCTGTAAGTGATAGATAGTCACTGTGCTACATGCTATAGGTGTCCATAAAGAATCTGGAAATGTGAGCTTTTTATATCCTATTTTTGGGTGATAAAGGTCATTGTATTATTGTGTTCAAAACACAGGCATGCCTCTTTAACAGTCCCTCCAAAGTCTTAATTCATTCCAGTATTAACCCAAAAGTCCAAGTCTGAGGTCTCATCTGAGACAAGGCAAGTCCCTTGTGCCTATTAGCCTGTAAATTTGAAAGCTAGTTAGCTACTTCCTAGATACAACAGGGATACAGGCATTGGGTACATACACCCATTCCAAATGGGAGAAATTGACCAAACCAAGGGGCTATAGGCCTCATGGAGGTCTAAAATCCAATAGGGCAGTCATAAAACATAAGTTTCAAAATGATCTCCTTCATGCCTCACATCTAGGTCATGGTGATGCAAGAGGTGGACTCCCACAGCTTTGGACAGCTCTGCCTCTGTGGCTTTGCAGAGTACAGTCCCCCTCCAGGGTGTTTTACAGGCTGGTGTTGAGTACCTACAACTTTTCTAGGCACATGAGTGCAAGCTATAGGTGGATCTACCATTTTGTGGTCTGGGAAATAGTGGTCCCCTTCTCTCAGCTCCACTAGGCAATGTCCCAGTGGGGACTCTGTGTGGGGGCTCCAATCCCACATTTCCCTTCCATACTGTCCTAGCAGAGGTTCTTCATGAAGACCCTACCCCTGCAGCAAACTTCTGCCTGAACATCCAAGCATTTCTATACATTCTCTCGAACCTAGGCATAGGTTTCTAAACCTCAATTGTTGACTTCTGTGGAACTGTAGGCTCAACACCACATGCAAGCTTCCAAAGCTTGGGGCTTGCACCTTCTGAAGCCATGGCTTTAGCTGTACCTTGGCCCCTTTTAGCCACAGCTGGAGCAGCTGGGTTTCAGGGCACCAAGTCTCTATAGTACATACAGCAAGGGAGCCCTGGACCCAGCCCACAAAACCATTTTTCCCTCCTAGGCTCCTGGGCCTGTGATAAGAAGAGTTGCCACAACCCTTCTCGTGTCCTGGAGACATTTTCCCTATTGTCTTATTAATATTTGGCTTCTTGTTCCTTATGCAAATTTCTGTAGCAAGCTTGAATTTCTCCTCAGAAAATGAGTTTTTCTTTTCTATTGAATCATCAGGCTGCAAATTTTTAAAACTTTTATGCTCTGCTTCCCTTTTAAAAATAAGTTTTAATTCCAAACCATATATTTATGAATACATAAAACTGAATGCTTCTAAGAGCATTAAAATCACATCGTGAACACTTTCCTGCTCAGAAATGTCTTCCGCCAGATACACTAAATCATCTCTCTCAAGTTCAAAGTGCCACAGATCTTTAGGGCAGGGGTAAAATGCCACAAGTCTCTTTGCTAAAGTATAACAAAAGCCACCTTTGCTCCAGTTCCCAACAAGTTCCTCACCTCCATCTGAGACTACCTCAGCCTGGATTTCACTGTCCATATCATTATCAGCATGTTAGTCAAAGCCATTCAACAAGTCTCTAGGAAGTTTCAAACTTTCAAAGTTTCAAACATCTTTCTGGCTTTTTCTGAGGCTTCCAAACTGTTCTAACCTCTGCCTGTTCCCCAATTGCAAAGTCACTTTCACATTTTTGGGTATATTTACAGCAGTGCCCCACTCCTGGTACCATTTTACTGTATTAGTTTATTCTCATGCTGTGAATAAAGACATACCCACAACTGAGTAATTTATAAAGAAAAGAGGTTTAATTGACTTACAGTTCAGCATGGCTGGGGAGGCCTCAGGAAATAGAATCATGGTGGAAGGGGAAGCAAACACACCCTTTTTCACATGGTGGCGGGAAGGAAAAGAACGAGCAAAAGGAGGAAAACACCTTATAAAATTATCAGGTCTTGTGAGAACTCACTCTCATGAGAACAGCATGAGGGTAACCACTTCCATGATACCATTACCTCCCACTGGCTTCCTCTCGTAACACGTGAGGATTATCGGAACTACAATTCAAGAGAGGATTTGGGTGGGGACACACCAAAACCATATCAGTTGTGATATGAGAAATTATCAAATTAAGATGTAGGGAATATTTAAAAGATTTGAGCAACCAGAAATGACAGATCAGTGCTGTAGGAGTGCAAAATACCGTTTTGCTCCTATTAAAAAAATAATTGTTATTGATAATCTGATTTATAAATGTCTTTAATAATTATGATGAATAATGCTCTAAGAAGCTAAAACTTCAAGCAGAATACACCCTAGGGAGGAATCAGCCTTAACAATAATTCTATAAATTTAATTTTCAAATTATTTCTCATAATTATGTTTTAGTTGACTTCATATGTGATCTAAACACATTATCGCTATTTCGGACTTATGATGTAGCTCTTACAGTACATATAGAAGAGCAGATAAAAGTATCAGTTCAACATTTCTTTGTGGTTTGTGCTTTCATGATAAATATTATCATCTTTTATCCATATACAATGTGTTTATTCATTTTGCATAGGTTAATTTGAGAGAACACAGGCAAGGGTATCTTTACAGCAGTTCCCACTCCTGGTACCAATTTACTATATTAGTTTATTATCATGCTACTAATAAAAACTATACATCACAATAAACTGAGAACCAGCCAGTAAATGAGAGAATTGTGGTCCACCTTTTCACATTGTCGAGTTCTCATTTTCCTTCAGCTTACACTGCTTATTCAACATTATTTCTGCATCATCTGATGCACTGACTAAATGAAGGTGCCTATGTTAGTCTGCACATGATATTAATTCAGCATATTTGGTTTATTCTTCTTTAGATTAAAAATAAATATGTAATCTTATTTTTAATATTTGCCACAGAATGACATTTCAGTCATTTGGTCAATGAAGGACCACCTATATTACTGTGGTCCCATAAGATTATAATAACATGTTTTTCCTGTACCTTTTCATTGTTTAGATACGTTTTGATACACAAATGCTCACCATTGTATTAGAGTTGGCTGCAGTATCCAGTACAGTAACATGCTGTACAGGTTTCTAGCCTAGGAGCAACAGGCTGTACCAAATAATCTAGGTGTGTAGTTAGGTTATACCATCTACGTTTATGTAAGTACACTCTATGATGTTCTCACAATGAAAAAAACCACTTAATGATGTGTTTCTTAAAGTATGTCCCTGCCATTAATACAGTACGTAACAGTTAGTACAATATGTAATACATGACTGTATTCAGAATTCTAGCTATTTCTCTTATATTTCAAATGAATTTCCTTGTACACTGTGTGGAACAGGGGCATTTCATTTTAGCAACCACTGTTTGAGAAAGGAAAAGTCTTTGAAGGATGTTGAGCAAGGTTGTGACATGGCCAAATGTGAAGTTTTGATCAGTGATTCCATGTTAGCAGATAAAGTTGTATTGGAACAGATCAAAAGCATGAAGGCCAGATAAGAGAATACTGTATGTTATCTGGGACAGAAATGTGAGGGATGTCAGGACAAATGCTATGACTGAATGAATCTCAGTATTCTTGGTGACTGAAGAATAATGGGACTCATCCAATAAGAGTCTGTGTATGATTGAAAGTAGTTATTAAGCTAGGAGGAAGAATGAGGAATGATTTTCTGGTTCCTGACTACAGCACAAGTTTTTGATTTTTAGAACAAAGAATAAATTTTTACATGGTTTATCATTCCTGGTTGAATTTTTAGGGGTAAAAAAGTCAGCTGTAATATTACTCTTTCCTGAAACCATGCAGTAGTAGTATCAATGTTTTCACTCATTTCACACACATTCTTCTGGAACCTGGGCACTGCTCTAGAAACTGATTCTTTCCAAATATCAGGTAAGGTTATTCTCAGGTAGACCCTCAGTTTATATAAACATGATTTTCCCAAAATGGGAAGTAAGCGACTTTTCATAAGATTAAAAAAAAAAAGATTGTTTTACTATTGCATTATGGAAATGTAGGTGACTTCCATTGGGCATCCTGTATTTAATTCATTGCTCCTGCATGTCTTGCTTTTAGCTGGGATGACAGCAGTTCAGTGAGCAGTGGTCTCAGTGACACACTTGATAACATCAGCACTGATGACCTGAACACCACATCCTCTGTCAGCTCTTATTCCAACATCACTGTACCCTCCAGGAAGAACACTCAGGTGAGAATTAGCACCTTTCTTTTTTCCAGTGCTTCAGCCAGTTTATTCCCCAAAATAACTTTATATTAGATTAAGGGATGGCACACAGTCTTAATCCATAATAATTACAGAAGCTGGAAAATGCAGAGATAACAAGGACTCCCTTTGCCACTCCTGAACCCTGAAGTATCTTTAAACTTTCCTAAAATCACAACCCTTTGGAGGGGCAACAATGTGAACTTCAGATTATTTTGAATAAACAGAAGCAGCTTACATATATATATGTGTAATATGCATACCATATAGACTGGGGGTGTAGTTATCTACACAAATGTATTAATTAAATATTGAATAATGAATTGATATATTTGCATAATAATGATGGATTAATATATTTGTATAGATAAGTATACCCCTAGGCTATATGGTATGTATATTAATAATTAATTCATTATTAATATATTTAATATATGTGTGTAGATGACTACACACCCAGGCTCTATGATATGTATAAATTAATATATAACATAAAATTATATATTAATATAGTACACTAATAATATAGTAATATATATATTCAATTGATTATAATCTAATTCAGAAAGATTTATATTAGCATCTCTCCTTATAATATTGACATATTTGTTTGAAAATCTAACAATTATTTTCATAGTCTAATTTTAGATACTTCTTGATCAATTTTATATTGATATCTGAAATACATTACTGGATCTCTTGTGAATGGTAAATCAAAAATGAACATTACATCATTAAGTTTTAGCTCTTCTTACTTATTCTTATTACATTTGATATAGAAAATTTCTACCTTTCTCTAGCGTTTAATTGGGGTTTTCTGCACATATTTATTCTGACATTCTCTAATATCTGCAAGTGGGAATTATGTGCCTAAAATTAACAAAACATAAATGAAGATAAATCAAAATAGAAGAATCTCTGGATTTATCCAGTTATCAGAAAGTACATTTCATTGCCTTAAATCACACTTTATAAATTTTTCTACATAAAATTTTTCTGTAATACTTTTCTTTATAGCCGAAGACAGATTCAGAGAAACGCTCCACAACAGATGAGACCTGGGATAGTCCTGAGGAACTGAAAAAAACAGAAGAAGATTTTGACAGCCATGGGGATGCTGGTGGCAAGTGGAAGACTGTGTCCTCTGGACTTCCTGAAGACCCTGAGAAGGCAGGGCAGAAAGCTTCCCTGTCTGTTTCACAGACAGGTTCCTGGAGAAGAGGCATGTCTGCCCAAGGAGGAGCACCATCTAGGCAGAAAGCTGGAACAAGTGCGCTCAAAACTCCTGGTAGGCTTGTCGTTTGGCAGCTCTTATGCAAAAGTGCTTTACTTTATTGTTTCCATTCAATCTTTGTTTTCTCTAACAATAGCATTTCTAAAACAATCAAAAGTTTTGTCCCTATTAAACATGGAGTCAAATAGTTAAATCGTTTTTCTGTGTACATTTCACAAACTTCGTTATAGAAACCCAAATAGGGCTTATATCTACGCATTCTCTGGAGAGCCCCCTTATAAACTAGGGGTACTGGATGCCTTACTTTACCACAGTTATTTCTGGTCATGGGAAAATAAAATTAGGTTGCTAAAGCAACGATGAAGTTTTTTGTTGTTGTTCTGAGTTTTTAATGAAAGTTTGGAATTTTTACCCTAAATATGCCACTGAATTTCACTTCGAACTCTGAGAGGCAAAAACAATGACACGAACCAACTGGAGATTTGAAACATTGCTTGTTCATTAGACTTCATGAAAGAAGAGAATGAAATAATTCTTCAAAATTGTACCATACTTTTTTTTAAAAAAAAGAAGGCTCTTCCCCTATTTTTAGAGTAGTACCTAAGTATCAGTAGTCCCACTGAAGTACTAATTAACAGGCAACTCCAAATATAATCATCACACAGATATTCAAATGAATTTTTTTCTAGTAATTAGCTTGATAGGATTAAGTTCTATCCTTATAAAAGAGAGTTGCAAAATACAAGACATTAACAAATAGCAAAAAATATGTTTTCATTTTATCTCTTCCATCTCTCCTAAGGTTTCTTCTGACAGCCAAATTTTTGTAGCTATGTACTCAGTCCTCTCAGTATATTAGAGTTTTGATCTAAGACAATACATGTAAGAAAAGAAATAATGTAAAGAAGCATTCACATTTAACACATTGTTTCAAGAAGTGTTGTGATATTAAATTGTTCAAGTACACATATTTGTGTATTTCTCATTAATTAGGGAAAACTGATGATGCCAAAGCTTCTGAGAAAGGAAAAACACCCCTGAAAGGATCATCTCTACAAAGGTCTCCTTCAGATGCAGGAAAAAGCAGTGGAGATGAAGGGAAAAAGCCCCCCTCAGGCATTGGAAGATCGACTGCCACGAGCTCCTTTGGCTTTAAGAAACCAAGTGGAGTAGGGTCCTCTGCCATGATCACTAGCAGTGGAGCAACCATAACAAGTGGCTCTGCAACACTGGGCAAAATTCCAAAATCTGCTGCCATTGGCGGGAAGTCAAATGCAGGAAGAAAAACCAGTTTGGACGGTTCACAGAATCAGGATGATGTTGTGCTGCATGTCAGCTCAAAGACTACCCTGCAGTACCGCAGCTTGCCCCGCCCTTCAAAATCCAGCACCAGTGGCATTCCTGGCCGAGGTGGCCACAGATCCAGTACTAGCAGTATTGATTCCAACGTCAGCAGCAAGTCTGCTGGGGCCACCACCTCAAAACTGAGAGAACCAACTAAAATTGGGTCAGGGCGCTCAAGTCCTGTCACCGTCAACCAAACAGACAAGGAAAAGGAAAAAGTAGCAGTCTCAGATTCAGAAAGTGTTTCTTTGTCAGGTTCCCCCAAATCCAGCCCCACTTCTGCCAGCGCTTGTGGTGCACAAGGTCTCAGGCAGCCAGGATCCAAGTATCCAGATATTGCCTCACCCACATTTCGAAGGTAAGGATTATAAAATGATGCTGGAAAAACATAAAGGATAAATATGTATTAGATACATATATTACATATAAATGTGTATGTGTATATATATGTATTCTAAATATATAAGGTACATATCTATCTTAGAATTCTTTAAAGTACACAGTGAGCTCTATGAAACTTACCACATAAACAGCAAAAAAAAAAGTTCTCATTTTGAGAAATTTCACTGTCATTGTAATATTAGCAACACAAACAATAGCTAAAAGACTTAAAAGTAGGTGGTAATACCTAAGTGTAGTGATAAAGCAAAGTAATAGCTTGTAAAATTTCTATAGATTTTCATCCCTCCTTTTTACATAAAAAAATAAACCAAAGTATGTCTCTATGACTGTTGGCATTCACTTACAGCATCATTTTCATGCTGGCTCTTAATGAGTTGATGATCATAAATGTAGATGAAGTTGTTTCCCTTGTAACAGATTACATTGGACAGATTTATACAGTATCATATCTTGACACATCAAAGACGATCAAGATATGAAAGGGTTTGAAAATATTCCAATGCTTGGTACAGTATCACAACTGAAGAGTGGGCTAAGCTTTTTAATTCTTCATCTGCTTTCTTTGACATGACTCTGGTAAGGATCATGACTTGGTTTCTGTTCCTGTATTGTTTTTGCTATTAAATATGTGGAGTTCTGCTCTAAGATATCACTGTGTTTAAATACCCATGTGTTTTTAAGTGGTAGGAAAATAAATGCAGTTAAAAATTGGGGACAAATATCTAAACCTCTCTGGATTTGTTTTCTTATCTGCAAATTGGCAGAATATGGTTTATAGTTCATTATGTCTTCAGTATTTTTAATGTTTGTTTTTATTCTGTTGACTAAACCCAGAACTTTGATATCTTGGAAATGAAGGATTTTGAAACATTTATTTTTTTATATTAAAGCAATCTCAGATACCCAATTGTTTGAAAAACCTAAAGGTTTTATTCCTCAGTAGAAATATTAATGCTGCAGAACTGTCTTTTTAGAATACCGGTTCTCATTGGGAAGAATGAATTATGACTTATAGGGAGAGTAAATATTTCTGTTTCTTAAGTAAAAGCCAAGAGTGCCCTCCTGTGGCCCATTACCTATGAAACAATTTCTCATATTCGTCATAAAATATTTCACTGTAGGAAATATGGATTTCATTGCAACTTAATTAGTAATCATTATGCCATTACTTCATATCATTGTATTTCCATATTTACATAAATTTGATTCTACCATCTGCTTCATTTACAAAACTAAAATGTTTTCTGAACTAAACTCCAAAATCTAACAGCACCAGCTCTGTTTCAAATCACTATTTTAAAAAAATGTATTTGAATAGCACTGGCAACTGACATAAAACCCTCTGGCCTCTGGTGGGAAAATCCAGACAAACTGACTTGTTGCCAACAATGTCCAATATTGTTTCCAACCAACTGCTCCCTGACAGTCACTCAGTCCACGAGATACTAGCATAACTCCCTCAACTTGCCTAAAGCATTCCTTCTATATTTTGAATAAACTGTTTTAAAAATTAAGAAAAAAGAAAACATAAGAGAAGAACTCATTTAAGTTGTTGTCTATCGAATGCGTAGAAGTTGTTTCATTATAATGGTTCTGTAAATAGGTAACAGCAAGTATGGTCAAACTTGAATTTGAGTGAAAGTCTCAAGATCACTTAAATTATGAAAACCGGGGATTTTCATGTTTGACTTACTTTTGTTTCAGCCACTTCCCCTCTTTCCCTGGTAGGAGCCCAGTACGGACCTAGTCTTATATGAGAGATTTTCAGCATTTGATTAAGAAGTCCAAGCTTATAAAAGTTCATTAACATAGAGACAGGACGTGCTTTGTAGTACAGTACACCAAAGCACACTTGGCTCTGTGTACTGTAACTCTAAATATTAAATGTGGATATTAGCTTCTTGGAACAACTGAAGTTGTTATTTGTTTTTCTTTTAGGTTGTTTGGTGCCAAGGCAGGTGGCAAATCTGCCTCTGCACCTAATACTGAGGGTGTGAAATCTTCCTCAGTAATGCCCAGCCCTAGTACCACATTAGCGCGACAAGGCAGTCTGGAGTCACCGTCGTCCGGTACGGGCAGCATGGGCAGTGCTGGTGGGCTAAGCGGCAGCAGCAGCCCTCTCTTCAATAAACCCTCAGACTTAACTACAGATGTTATAAGCTTAAGTCACTCGTTGGCCTCCAGCCCAGCATCGGTTCACTCTTTCACATCAGGTGGTCTCGTGTGGGCTGCCAATATGAGCAGTTCCTCTGCAGGCAGCAAGGACACTCCAAGCTACCAATCCATGACTAGCCTCCACACGAGCTCTGAGTCCATTGACCTCCCCCTCAGCCATCATGGCTCCCTGTCTGGACTGACCACAGGCACTCATGAGGTCCAGAGCCTGCTCATGAGAACGGGTAGTGTGAGATCTACTCTTTCAGAAAGGTGAGCTTTCCTGGAGGCATTGATAACATCCTCTCCCTTCTTCCCTGCTCTGTGCCTTAACCCCCTACCCCATTAAACTTCCTTGATTTCACTGTGAGTGCCCCTGTGCAAAAGGATGTAAGAGTGATGAAACTGGGCCTTTCATTTGCTCTTATTACCAAATTTACAGAGGAATAAAATCATTAGGGGTAGGGTGAGTGGATAATTTTGTTAATATGAATACATAATTTATACCCAGTAGGCAATGTGAGTAAAATTCAAAGTGTGTATTTAGATATTGAATGAGATCTCCTCAAGACATTTTAATGATTTTGCTTAAGCTTCAGAACAATGCTAGCTCCTTATGATGACTTAAGCATTTTCAAAGACCAAATTGAAATTATTCTACAGTTATGCTCAGAGCAGTATGTTAAATTTGTTTCATTTGTACTTCCATGAAAAAATAGCAGATGGATTTCTTGGAAATCCTAGTTGGCCTGGTAAAAAAAAATAATCAATTGTCAGCCATGAATTCTTAGAGAAAATTATAGTGCCAGTGCCATATTTAATAGACCCCTTGAAAAGCAGTCATATTACAAAGCATTTCTCATTGGCTACACACACACACACACACACACACACACACAGACACAGACACAGACACACATGTCTAATTTTACTTAAAGTGGAGAACATAACAAAGCATTTCTTACCTAATATGCTTATGGCAAAGCATCCCTACAAGCAAAATTACTCTAATTTTTTTTCCTCAAAGTGATCCTTTCTTGGATATACTGGTATTGACTCTTATCACCATGAAAATGTCTTAAAACCACTGCTTTTTCCCTGACAAATGCAATGCTATTTGTTTCTTGGCACAAGTAAAGCTTTAAATATGGTCTTGGCCATATGTGGAAAGAAACACTGGTCACTGAAAATACCTGATATATCTTTATATATCTTTCCCTAAGTTTTTTTTTTTTAATCTGAAATTGATGGTGGCATTTCTTCTTTTCTAGACTTTCTGTTTTACTCCCAGAGTGATATTTTAAAATATCAATTAAAGCCCTTGACTAGATGCTGTGTTACACTGGTTTTCCCTTAATCCAAGATTCCTCAATTTGAAATTCCCCATTTTCTCTTGACTTTGTAAAATACAAAACCCAGAGCAAAACATTGCTTCTATCCCTCTTTACTTGCCTAATAATGAGACAGGGACAGCCGTGCAAATGGGGCTTTCTAGTGAAAAAAGAATTTTAGTACCAGCTAAAATATTGGTGCTTGCTATGCTGGGCTGCTAATCACAAAATAAATTTTTCCTCATAAAGAAAAAAACTGGGCCAAGACAAGCATCTGTGTGATAGCAACTAAAATGTAACCATTTCTCTTTGGTTTTGCTGTGATATGCTGCTGTAGACAGCATACATTAAAACCAGTGAGGGTTCATTTTTCCAACTAAAAAGTCAGACTTCCTGTAAAATCTTTTATTTTAGTTTCAGTACTTCCAAGGTAAATGGGCCTCCTCACATGTCATTTATAAAACTACTAACAAATAAGTTACATTAAAATATATTAGCAACCTATAGTTTTAATGAATGTATCCTAGATTGTATGCTCATGTTTGAGGACTCGAAATATCAAGTTGATAAACAAACCAAGCATACTGCAAATAGGGTATTATTTATTAACCGTAACCACCTTCCACAATACTGGTTATTTTTTAATTATAAAGGTAATCCATAGCAAGTTGGCCATTTAGCCATCAACCTATTTCTTTAGCATTCAGACATTAATCCCAGATTCAGAAATATAGTCAAGGAGCTATTTGTAACCAAGTACCTCTCAAATCAAAACTAAATTATAAAATTGGTTAGTTGTATAGCTATAAACAAAATGCAGCTTTAATATTTTACTCTATATTTTAACTGAAGTCAATAAAATTTTCACTATAGAAATACACTAGAAAATATGCAATTACTTATTTTTAAGCATATTTATGTATTGTACACGTTCAACCTTTGAAATAGGCCAATTTTATTTATGTTATTTATTTATTTTGAAATGGAGTCTTGCTCTATTTGGAGGCTGGAGGGCAGTGGCGCCATCTTGGCTCACTGCAGCCTCTGCTGCCTGAGTTCTAGCAATTCTCATGCCTCAGCCACCTAAGTAGCTGGGATTATTGGGGCAGACCACCACGCCGGGTTAACTTTTGTATTTTTTGTAGAGATGGGATTTTACCATGTGGGCCATGCTGGTCTCAAACTCCTGACCTCAAGTGATATAACCCCTCCTTCCAGTAAATTACTAGATTAAAATAAATTTTGATATAAGACTGAGCTTTTTGTTTTCTTGACAACAGAACTGTAAGCAATAGTAAATTACTCTAATTCTTTCAAGTACGTTTAAGAAAGTTTACGACCTATTAAAGAGAAAAGTAGATCTAGTGGGTGATACTGGCTTAATTGTGATTAATTAAGTGGTTAGTTAAGCGTCAGAAATCCTAAGAAAACCAAAAAGCTACACCCAAGAAAAAATGTATTAATGTAAATATTTAAGGCAAATTAACTGGTGATATATAATAAAGATGTATATATGTTCATGATTTACCTGTTTGTCTACAATTTTAGATGATTTCTTTGATATTTAAATTTAAATCAGTCAATTTTCCTGTAGATTTTAATTTTTGTTTAAATTGTTCTTCATTAAATTAAATAAAATACATTTGTAACAGTTTTCCCTCTGCAGCTGCTTTAGGTCATTGGTGGCCATTGACCTATAACTAGTCTACATTTGTTTTTGGTTTTGTTTTGTGTGTCTGACTCAACCAAATTTTTTAAATAATTTGTAGTAACCACTTTGAAAATTCTGGGTTTGTTTTTAAATGTCGAATCTGGCAATGCTGCCTTGACATTTCTGCCCAGAGACTATTGGCTCTAGGCAGACAGTGCCTGTCTGATTCAAACTGTTGACTAAAATTTCCACTACATTCATTTTCACACCCTATCTGGCCCTTGCTGGCATATGAGTTTGCAACCTTTGTGGGTTTGCAGTAACTGTCTATGTTACAAAATCATTAATATCTAGATTCAGACATATTTCTCAATAAAGCTTTAAACTGTTTTGGTAACTTTAAATATATTCTGTTTTTTTTTTTTTTTTCCATTAAGTTGCTCTGCATCATATAAATATAAAACTTTTATACAACTGGATGAGTTTGGCAAAAGAATACCAACTTTTTATTTTCTTTGTGGCATTAAACTTTTGACTTGTACACATGGAAAGAGATAATCCTTGAAATGGCTTATGACCACATAAATGCTTTAACACATGTGGTCCATATTTAGAGATTTCTCATATTTATTCAGTATGATTTCTTTTGTTCGTTTATCCACACTACTAAGAAAACTTCTATAGCCAACATATATACTGTAACTGGCCTCTACATAATATAGCAATTACTTTATGTGGACATTCCCAATAAAGTTAGAGCTGTATAAAACCTTTGTATGCTTTCAATTGCAGTGCTAAATAATGGACTACACATAAAAGAAAACATTTTAGCTTTGGTTTGAGTGACTAAATTTTAAGTCAGCCTGTTTACATTCATGTTATGTCATCCCCATTATACATACCCTGTGTATTTAATTTTGATCATTTGGGTTCTAAAGGAAGAAAGCTATAATTCTGCAATTAAAATTAATTTTACACTTTTGCTTATCCACATGCCAGAGATCATAAAAGAAATCCCCAGACTTGGCCCACTTAGGTGTTGATATCCTCTTCCTGTATTTTTAGAGAGGCCGTTTCTCATTTTCCTTAGACACACGTTTTCAACCCCTCTTGTTACCTATAGTGAATTCCATAAAATAGAGATGATAAATTTATAGCACTTAAAATACCTAATTTATGATTTCTAAAAAATGGTATATCTTAGTTTCATTAAAATATTTGAATAAATGATACCATAGTCAATTAAGTTTTAGGCAAACACTCATATACCTTTCTTCACATGTGTAAATGGGCAATAAATATGCCTTTATTTTTATTAAAAATAATTTGGAGACAAATGATAAGTATTAAATAATGTTTTATACCATCTCTGTTCATTGGAAGTTGTCATTCTAACTAGTTAAGCTTTAATAGCCAGAGCAGATATATCTCATTTTGCATGTGATATCACAGCAAAAGTCTTGTCAGTTGCATAGACAAGGGAAAACTAAGATAGCATATAATCAACAGAATTCAAAGGAGAATTATGCTAACTAGATTTAATCTATTTTCTAGTAATCCTATCACTAAACTATCATCGAATGATATTGTGTTAGAAAGGAATTCAGCATGTGTGACAGCAATGGACATTTGTCACCCTTAGTTGGCCTTTTTCAATGAGTTAAGCATTTTATGTGTGTTACCAAAAAATTATTTTTTATAGTTCAGAGAACCATTTTTGTTGGATGTGTAATTTGGAAGTTTTGTTTACATTATGTCCTTAGGGGTTTTCTTTGTTTTAACAGCATGCAGCTTGACAGAAATACACTACCCAAAAAGGGACTAAGGTATATATTTCTCTCAGCACAATTGCTGCCTCTCTCTGTTGTTATGTAAATTTTGTGTGCTGTCTCTCTTCCTTCTTTGTTTGTTTGCAACGTAGCATCTGACACTGACGATGAAATCACTTTTAATCTTGATAGTTTCTCTGGTCCGAACAGTTGGCGAAATAGCCTCTTAGGTAAAGATACTAGTAGAGGTTGAGGCTGTGACCCAACTTAAATAAATTCCAATATGAATACTACTATTTTGAAGAAATAATTCTAAAAGAAACTTGTCCCAGGCATTGCTTTTGTGGGGACAGCAACTTTTCGTAGAATGCAGAGCTCACTGCTACAAATTAAAATAAAATTAATTCTCCTAACATTTGCATATTGGAGGCATATGCTTGCAAATCCTCAAAACCCAGACTATCTACAGATGTGGGCAGCTAACACTGAAAGGTTGAAGGATGCTGCAATTTGAATCAAAGAAAACATATTTTTATCATCATAGGGCAAATACTGTAATTAAGGCATGATTTTTATAAAATCCTTTTGATAAAAATCTCAAAATTATTTCAATTTCTATTTTTCATGGGTGCTGCTATCAGATCAATTTAAATCTGAATTAATGTAATATCATTTAATCTCAAAATAATTATTCCATCCATAATAAAAATAAAATAAAAATATAACTTATGGCCATCTTTTACTGTGCACTTTTATCTGAGGAGGGGACATAGAATGAACTACTAATAGAGGTAGGTCACTGAATGCATATGAAAAGTCGGCTACTTTTGGTGCTAAAAATTTACTTACAAAGAGAAAAAGAATTTACCCAGTCTGCTGAAACACAGAATAATGGCAAAACTAGGTCTTTCTCCATAATTTTTTTTTCTCTCCAATATTTTAGCAATAGCAGTTAGCTGGCAATCATTCCATTTTAATATTTTGTTCCATAAATTTATTTTCCAGTAAAATGAGCACATCCCCCTCCTTATTTTTGTAATCTAGGCATGATGTCGAGTGGCAGTTTAACAAAAGAACTGTTTTTCCTTTAAGAAAAAAAAAAAAAAAAAAAAACCTGCCAGTTAGTATTCCATTTCCCTATGCCTTCTGCGACCATCACTTCATTTCCCTCAGTCCTGGCCCATCACTGTCCTCCATTTGTAGTCCATGTTTTCACCCTCTTTACATCCTTTCTAGCCCTGTGTTTTCGAGTTCTTCTCAATTAACTTGCCTGTCTGCTCACTGCTTATGATTTTCAACTGCATATCTGATAGAAGCATAATTTTCTCCTCAAATCCTTTTATTTTATTTTTTTCTATGAGATTCAAACAGATGGTGTAAGATCATCTGGAAGAACTGAGCAATTATAATTAGATTCAATCTGTTTGAAGTTGTTGTTCATTCCGAATAGTAACCTCCTCTCAATTGTTTTCCTGTCCTGGCATTGCCTTGCCATTGTAGATGTGCTTAAGTGTCTTAGCTGTGCTGTTTTGCAGATACACCCCATCATCTCGGCAGGCCAACCAAGAAGAGGGCAAAGAGTGGCTGCGTTCTCATTCTACTGGAGGGCTTCAGGACACTGGCAACCAGTCACCTCTGGTCTCCCCTTCTGCTATGTCGTCTTCTGCAGCTGGAAAATACCACTTTTCTAACTTGGGTAAAATATTCTAAAATATCAGTTTTGTTTTGTCTCTTTCACCACCCACTCTCACAGAAGCACTGGAATCTCTCCATAACACAATACATTTTCATTTAAAGGGAGGGTTAAAGGCACTTTAACAGTACCTTCCATTTACTTGTCACAGAATAATTTCCAAACATTATGCTATATGTTGCTCATGACAAATGCTTAACGTAGGTTAATACTGTGGTTATATTCCAGTCTAGGCTCCAGAGGCTCAGAGAGGTCATTTGACTTGAAAAAGTCTTACCATTACTAAGGGTTCAAGGCAGTACTCAGTTCCAGAACACCTGACTTCCCATTCCATTTTAGAATCCTCTTAAAAAACAGGAAAGCAGTTCCTTATTTGTTTGAAATGTTAAAAACATCCTTAAAAAATTAATACTCTTTTGTAGAAAAACAGAAAATAGAAACAGGAAGAAATATTTATGTAATTCTATGACTCCAAGTTAACTTCTTTTAACGTTACTAAAGTTAAAACTCCTTAAAATGCATACAAGAATTTCTGTTAAGACAATACTCTGAATATTTTCAGGTAGATACAATGAAAAGTAAATTACCACCTTAGTCATTTGGTTACTTTGTATTTAGCATTATTTGTATGAAATATGATATTGTTTACATAAATGTTAAAAGCACTCTGAGTGACAAAATAATTAAAGAAAGCTAAACATGCCAGATACCATTTAATAGATTCAATGACTTTAAAAATAGATTTATCTTCTATAAAGTCACATATAAAGTGGTGGCATTATTTTTATGGTAAATATTTTTATTATTAGTTTTATCAGAAAATCTTGTACATAAAGGTGATTTCTGATATATAATCTTATTAGAGCCATAGATGATCATTTCTATAGAAAAACTTATCTCTATATTTAGGATAGAAGACAAACAAGAGATTTCACTTTATAATTTGCCTTTGTCAAACTATCCCAGAGAACATCAATTCCGTCATAAAAGTATTATTTTGATATTATATAAAAAATTAGTAAAACACACAAGCCAAAACCTTATATTCTCTAACCTTCAAGTCAATCATCAACTTCTGCTAGATTTTTGAATACCTGAAAACAAACATACAGCACTCAAACCATTTGTAATGAGGCACAGCAGTGCATTTTTTTTTCTTTTTTTCTTTTTTTCTTTTTTTTTTTTTGTTGGAGTCTTGCTCTGTTGCCAGGCTAGAGTTCAGTGGCGCCATCTTGGCTCACTGCAATCTCCACCTCCCAGGTTCAAGAGTATTCTCTTGCCTCAGCCTCCCACGTAGCTGAGACTACAGGCGTGTGTAATCACGCCCAGCTAATTTTTGTATCTTTATTAGAGATGCGGTTTTACCATGTTGACCAGGATGGTCTCGATCCCCTGACCTCGTGACCCGCCCGCCTCAGCCTCCCAAAGTGCTGAGATTACAGGAGTGAGCCACTGCACCCGGCCAGCAGTCAGTTTTAAGCCTTGTATTTTCCAGCTTTCAGTAGAATAACCTTCACTGGTTTATTAGCTTTTTGCCAGTCTTATTTTGCCTTACTGGGCCTAAACAGAGTATAATACAGAAACATGTTAATAAGCCATACTGAGAACAGGATAAATGCAGGTTTCTAAGTCCTTAGGGACACAAGTGGGAAGAACACATCCCATGAACACAGGTGAAAGAATGTCCGTAGTTATCTCTGATTTGGTAGTTTCATGAGATCATTTTTTCTCTGAGGCTAAAGTCTCTGGTTTAGGTCTTCTTAGCAGCTTCTAGAACAGAAAGTGAGTTTACTTTGTCTCCGAATTCTTTTTCTCCATGCTCAAGAATCCCCTGCTTTCCTGATCCCACTGAAAAAACTCCCCTGAGAATGAAGCCTTGTTATTCCAGGTTTCCCGGGAAGCCTTGATTCCAGGCTGGATAAAGTTGTTCCACACTCCCCAAGGTCTAAATCCCATAAACAATATCTTCTGTCTTTATAGGTCATAGAACTTTTTATTAGCATCCGGGAAGATTTCTCTTTTGAAAGGAGGCTGGAAAACCTTTATGTCAGTCCTGATCTGCTCATTAACCACTGTATAGAGGAGGAAACCCAGCTCATCCAACTTGAGTTTCAGGGAGAACAGGTCTGCAGTTTCTTCTTGTCAGAGAAAACAGCCTGGCACAGGCACAATCACAGCTCCTTTTTTCTCCCCATAGCTCCTTTGCTTTGAAAGTTGCTGGTTACTTCTCCAGTGTTTTCAGGTCTGTATTCTCCAGGTACTCCAGCACCTCCTTCCAGGGCTTGGACAAAAACACATCTGTGTTGGAAGCAGCAGTGCCAAGGCAGTAGCCTCCAGGCTCTTGTACCAATGGACCACATCCCCACAGAGCAGCACTTTGGGTTTTCAACTGCCCCTTTCATCTTGCCTTCTCCCAAGCCAGAAGCCCAGACACTAAGGGGCCAAACCCTCCTGGGCACCTAGAGTCCCAAGGGCCTCATTACTTTTTCTCTTTTCACTGGAAAAAAAATTCTAATAATGCACCTGAAGAAGATTCACATTTTTCGGTAATTTGGACTTTGCAACTTTCAACCAGGACAAGACTCAAAGCTATTTCTTTTCTATTGCAGTCCTTCCTGCTATATTGAGTAGGGTTTTTAGCAATTGAAAACAATTATTTTGGTCATGGTTTTATATGAGCTAATGAATTCATATCAAACACCAAGTTTTTGTTGCCTAATCTATATAGTGATGAGAGTCTTTGTCTATAATGCCAAAGAATGTATAGTTTTATTTAATTTTAGTTACAGTTAATTTTTTAAAAAAGCAAAAAGCCTAACACCTTAACTTCAAGAAAATGAATTTAAAATGTTTGTGTAGGTCGTAGAAATATGAAACAAAATAATTTTATACAGCATCTGAAACACACTCAAGTCACCTAAAGTGCTATAAGCTTGCTAAGTACCTCATGTCTCCTATCAAATCTTTTCATTAATTAACATTAATTTGATTAGTTGACTCTTTATTCTATTTTTCCCCACCATTATTTTTATGATTAAATCCACCTTCATTATTCTTTAGGAATGAAAGTACTCACCACTTCCTATGTCTGACATTGGTAAAGTCATTTAAACTTAATTTACTTATCTCTTGAATGGATATATAATACTGAGGTCATATTATAAAGAGTGATGGATATAGTGTACATAACATAGAGAAGTGTGTAAGACTTGTTAGATTCTGCCAAATCATTATTTTTATTGAAAAACATGTCTTACACTATCAGAGAGTGGCACTCATCAGATATGCGTGAGCTTTGTCTATATTTAATTGAGTAGTAATTCACAGGACAGTAACCATAGGATTTTATGTGAAGGAGATGCAGATTTTATTTTTGGAAAACTAGTACAAAACTATGACATTTTTATCAAGGACTCATTTACCACAAATGTCAACTATTTATGCAAAAATAAGTTTATTCTAATATTTGCATAAACTAAAATTAACAGGGCAACTGAAGCCAACATGTCCATGGCCACAATGTGTTAAAAATAGTGATTATATAGCACACTTAGGAATGTATTTTATTACATAGTTTTCAGAGTTAAAACACAATTAATAAATGAAATATGAATTACACTTTTCCTGATAACAAACATATCTGTAGAGCTTTAATGTTCTGATGAACTAGAAAACCACTAATCAAATACATCCCTTACATTTCATTCCTATAGGAACCGAGTCTGAAAGGTCAAGTTTACCTTTCTAGAATGTGGGTTTCCCCCCTTAATCTATTGTGTTTTATATCAGAGATCTCTCAGCTGTGTCCGTCAGGCCATGACTGTAGTGACACTGCCCTCTTGATTCTCTTCATACTTTTCCAACTACAATTCTTTCTCCTGGGGTTGCTCATCTTAACATAGCTATATCATTTATCGTAGACACAAGGTCACTTTTGAGAGTGAATGGAACTATATTAATAATTATTCCAGGCATTAGGTACAAACCCTGGGCAATGCAATTTATCCTCCTTCTCCTCCTCATATTTATGTGTTTACCAAGTTGTTTTTCCTTTAGACTTTTTTAATCCTAAACTTTTTTCTATGTTCTCATTTACAGCTTTAATTCTGAGCTCTCAAATGAGCATTTCACTTTCTGAGATCTTTTTCAGCTCTAAAACTAAAATTCAATCAGTATGCTAGACTGTATAGCCCCCTCAAATCAAAGTCATTTCTTAAGTTCTTTTCTTCTATTTTTCTTATAATTTCACGTACCGTCCTTTTCTCTACTCTAGTGTAAAAATATATGTAATCAATAGTCTTTCTTGAAACTGTGCCCTTCATATTGTGCATTTTCAGTAGACAGGAACCTGTGATTTTATTTTCACAATATCTCCTAGATTCATCTCTCATTTTCAGTGATATTGTCCTTGCTGAAGCGTTTTTAACAGTACAGAATTGCAGTAGATTTGAAATTGTTTTTACTGTGTCGACTCCCTTATGTCTCAACATTTCACCTATTGGGAGATGTAAAAAAAGATATTCCTATTCATGTCAACACACTCTCGTGTACCTCCCCAGATCTTAGAAACACAGATGGCTTCAAATCAGGCATTTTGAACCTTTATGCTGAATCATTTCATAGTGGAAAAAAAATGACTAATTTCAAAAACATAAAAATAATCTTTAAAGAGTTTTTATTGTATTTACAGTTCACCTGAACATCTGTTTATTGGGCAAGAAAATAAGTACTCTTAAAATGCAATCATAAATTAAAGTTACTTTATTATTAAATTATATATATATTATAAAAACTTACCTTGACTATGTCCTATTGTTGTCTTCTGAAATCACCCATTTTTGATTTGACCATTGTATTTTCTGGATAATCAGTACAATACAGGATTATGATTAATATTCAGGAGTTGCAGTATTCATGTTTTCTTTATTATTTCTACCAATTAAAATGTATTAATATATAAAAGTTTTAGAAATATTGCTGTAAGAAAAGCACCTACGACATACATTAGAAATTTAAGATTGCTACAATTATGTCATATTAGAGAGACTACTATGAACTACTGCCACAGTGACCTGTAGTTTGTGTGTAGTTCCCAGCATGCTAGCTCTAATAGAAACCATTTCCCTTCATGAAAGAATAACAAAATATAACTTTCGTAAATCAAAAAGTCTTTGGATGAACTTTATGTATTATTGGTTGTAGTTCTTGTGAGGCATCTCATAACCTGGTGAGACTCATTGTCACGTTCCCATGAGTGATAACAATTGCTCACATTCATTTTTCACCTTGCTGCAAGGGTTACATGCAGGAACATTAATGTCAACCTGTCACTTCTAATATCCATCTAATATAGGAAATATTAGATGGATCCTTTTGCATGCAGTGATTGCTAAAAACCTTCCTCTATCTTGAATCCCTTCCCATCTTCCTGTTCATCCTTCAACCTTCTCAGAGTAAGCTCCTGTCTTCTTTTCTTTTGGAAGCATAGAATCTCACAGTCAGAAGAGACCACAACTGCTTCAACCCTTCATCTCTTGTGTAAAATTTTATGACATCTCTAGCTTCTTCTTTAAACCCACTAATGATAGAAACTAGTTAAATCTAGAAATAATACTTTTGGAATTCCTCCTTTAAGAGATCAAATTAAATTTTTCTGAATCTTCAGCTATTGTTCCTAGTGCACCTTGCATCACTAGTTAATGTCTAGCTGTAGATGCAAAGGTAGAGAGTGACTTGTGAGTATGTAAAAGCCCAATCCAGCCACACACATTGGATTATGCCTGTAATGTCAGCATCACTCAAGAGGCTGGGGCAAGAGGATCCCTTGCCAGGAGTTAGAGGCTATGGTGAGCTGTGATCATGGCACTGCATACTTCAGCCTGAAAGAGAGAGTGAGACCCTGTCTCAAAATAATATTATTTAATAGTATCATAAAAACCCAGTCCGTATTTATATCAGATCCTGTTTTCCTCAAGTTACTACAAATAAATATATAATCTTAATAAAAGATTAGTGGCTTGGCCAAGATAGTAACTTGGCTATGCAAATGCAATTTAAGACAAGGTTAGTAGCCCTCTTTTTCCTGATAGATTGCCACATCTGTTTCTCTTCTATTTAGAAATTCTTGTGTGTCTCCTGGCTTTGAATGGATCTTAGAGGCCTTTATTTTTCCATTCTTACTCATAAAAAAGTAAGGGGTAGTTATTGGGTTATTTGGTCAAAGCAGATGGAAAGCAAAACTACCACTAGATGCTCTTTACCAATTTGTGTTTTATTCGAAAAATTGTCTTTGTCTATGTTACGTTTGTCTTCTGTGGTATAGCTTTTACGTATTAACTGTTGTCCTTTTTCAGACATCTCTCCTACTGGCTACCCTTGAAATCAGAGACTGTGTCATATTTTTCCTTCTATTCAACTACAACATCTAAAAGTAGATCTGTCATAGTCATTAACTTAATTGAACACTCTTAAACAGTTGGGTGTCATTTCCTATGGAGAAGTTATCAGAAGTGTTTGTACATGCAAACTATTCCCTTTAAAATCTGTACTAATCCTCATTAATGTTTCATCTTGATAGAGCTACGTATTATCTATTGAAATTGTAGAAGGACACTTCACTTGGAATCCTTGCAATCATTTTGGTAAGAATTTTACAAAGCTGAAAAGCGAATGAAATATCCTTCTAACCTTTGGGATATGTATATTAAAATGATGCACTTAAAAATGTGTTGAATACTTCATTAATGTAAACAAGAGTAAATTCATACTGTGAACCAAGAATATGGTGACATACCCCAATCTTGCCACCTTAAACACAAACATTTTAAGTTTGAATGTCCTACAGTATACCTACCAGCTGTTGTCACTAATCAGACCAAAACCTACTAATGGTCACTGAAGGCTGAAGGAATGTGCTTGAAAGATAGGCAGGTCCTCTCCCTCTCCCTTTTTACTTTTTTCTTCTTTCCATCCTTTCTTCTTTTTTTCCAATAGGTTGTGCACTTCGCAGATTTATATGCTCTTCCTTTTCCATTACATTTTAAATGTGTGATTCTTAGTCCTATGCTTCCTTTTACTCCAGTCAATTACTTGGCTCTATCAGAGGGTTGTTCTCTGTGTTAATTCTATTAATACCAGAATTATCAAGCACGCTGCCTTGCAAATACAAGATACTTCTTTCCAGTTACGTCTGAGTATACTTTTTCTGTTTTACATTGTTTAAAGTGCCAATAATTTTATTAAGAAGAAGTTTAGTGCCTGTGTCAAAGAAAAAAACTTAGCAAATTTTGAAGTGATACCAGACCAACTCTAAGCCACTGACAGATTCCCTCAGGTTTTGAAAATATTCGGTAGTGCCCTTTATATCTTAAGAGGCTCCTATGTCCTTTCTCATACACTAGTAACAAACTTGCTTTTCTTAAATGTGAATATTTAGATCTTTCTCAATTTTTCTTCTTTGCTTTTATTTTTCTTTCTCAATTTTTCTTCTCAATTTTTTCTTTCTCAATTTTTTTCCTTGCTTTTTTCAATTTTCTTCTTTGCTTTTATTCCGTATTTCACAATTGTATTGTTTTCTCATGCAGGTGTACATACAACCAACCAAATGTTTTCTTAAGTTGATGACTACCAGATGACCCAAAAAAGATGAATTTCTTTAGAACTATTTGGCAGTAAGCAATAAGAAAATGAATTTTTCTTGAAAATTACAAACTTAAGATACTTCTTTGGAAATATAACATGTTTGTCACTTTTGACCATCTCATTGTGATATGCTCATTTTAAACACAGTAGAAAATAATTTCATGTGATTAACTTTATGGTGGACTACAGATACCATGGACATTACATTGTGTTAAGTATGACATGACTTTGATCATAATGATGGTCCTAATCATGAACTTACATCAATTAAGAGCTTAATGTGACTGAGAGTATTTTCCTGGAAGTATTTAAAGGCCCTTCTTAGGAAATTTAGATTTTTTTGTATTTTACTTTCTTTTTTATTTTGCTTTTTCCATTAAAGTGATGATTATTTTTTAAGAGAAAACCAAAAACTCTAGAAAGACCATCTTTTCTTCATAACAGGCAGCCGAAAATACTATGTCATAACATTTTTAGTGAGAGCAGTAGAGGTGACTTGTTTGTTTTGTTTACTGTTGCTTTAGAAATTGATATAAGTCTTGCCAGAGGAAAAGAGAGACTCAATGAGATCTGTTATTGAACATTTCAAGAGGCACATTCTTACCTAAAGTAGAGACTCACTATACATTCATGTTTTCATAAGAATTGGGATCACGTTCTTACTTCCTATAAACCTGCTATTTTCATCTTTCAAACTTTGCGGTAATAGGCTTTGTGTGCTTTGTTTTTCAGTGAGCCCAACAAATTTGTCTCAGTTTAACCTTCCTGGGCCCAGCATGATGCGCTCAAACAGCATCCCAGCCCAAGACTCTTCCTTTGATCTCTATGATGACTCCCAGCTTTGTGGGAGTGCCACTTCCTTGGAGGAAAGGCCTCGTGCCATCAGTCATTCAGGCTCATTCAGAGACAGCATGGAAGAAGGTAAGCATCAGGGGGAAATGAAGACGAAGTCACTTTATTTAAACCCTGAGAGGGAAACCATTGTGTCACTCACATCACAAAGATTCCTGAAGAGGAAAATAAATTAGTATAATTATCATTTGGGAAACTGGAAGCTTGGAGAAGTTTTATTCTGTATTACCTTCTGTTTCTTTATGTATTTGGAAATATGCCAGAATTTGTTTAGATTAACACTTGGCTATAGAAGAGTTTAGACTAAATCTACTTTTCCAATAAGAAATATACATAGAAACTATTTTCCCAGGTGCATCAAATATCAGAGCAAATGTTTTGTTTGACATTTTGCTTAAAGACCCATAAAGATACACAAACCAGAAATGTTATTTTATGAAAATACCACATGTTGCTGACTTTTATTCCCAGAAATTCCTTCTGGTGCTAGTTTTTTATCATATCATTTTAGAACTCATATTGTACCTACTTTGTTGCTTTATAAGTCATTATTTCTGCATCCAATGGCAATAAAATTCCCACCTAACCTAATAAATATCTTTTTAGTTATATAGTTCTGTGTGAATAAATCAGCTTGAAAACTTCAGGAAGCTGATTTAATGCATATATATATATATATATATATATATATATATACATACATATATTTAAACCATAGAAGCTCAAATGTCAAATTTAACAATAATTTGAGAGACTTTTTTCTTTGATTTAATGAATTTAAGTATCCATAAAGAAAAGTTATGGCACACATATTATAAAGAATGTCAGCTAAGGATAAAATAAAACTACACATAAAAATTCAAACTGATTAGAATGAAATTATTAACCTTAATAATTAAGTATAAAAGAAAGGACTCCAAATCTTGAAACATACCAGAGTTTAAGCCTTTAGCCATCCATTTATTTGCCGTATAAACTTAGGCAGGTTTCTTAACTGTACTAGCCTAGGTTCTAGATCTGTAACTTTGTAGTTTTGTCGCAAGGTTGAAATATGAGAATAAAGAACAATTCTGTACCATTCTCTTTTATCTTCCTACCTTCTTAAAGTATTTTCTGACTGAAGGTTTAGGCAGCTATGAAAATTGACTCATGTTTTTCAGGTCACCACTATAGATTTAATATGCTGGCACTAAATCAGTAGAGAACAGTTGTGATTGCCTTTTATAATATCACTAAGTTCACTATGATAAACAGTGAATTATATCCAGTGAGTCCACTGATTACTGCCATGTAGATAGACAAAACGCAACTATTCTCAAATGTAAGGACACTGTTTTCTGAAACGAAATGATTCTGTTGCTCTCTTCACAGATAGGCTTTTTTTTTTTTTTTTTTCCGAGACGGAGTTTTGCTCTTCTTGCCCAGGCTGGACTGCAGTAGTGCTATCTTTACTCGCTGCAAACTCTACCTCCTAGATTCAAGGGATTGTCCTATCTCAGTCTCCCAAGTAGCTGGGACTGCAGGCATACACCACCATGCCCAGCTAATTTTGTAGTTTTAGTAGAGATGAAGTTTTGCCATGTTGGCCAGGCTGGTCTCAAACTCCTGACCTCAGGTGATCTATCTGCCTCACCCCCTCCCAAAGTGCTGAGATTACAGGCATAAGACACCATGCCCAGCTGATAGGCTTCTTATAATACTTTAAAAATAATTTGCCAAGCATACAGATGGCTTTCTAGAGTGTGGCATTTACAAATAAAGTGATTTTTTATATACTGGGAAATTATGGCCTTCAGTGTATGAGGATTAAATAATTTGAATTTCTAAAAGCTAGCCTAAGGGAACAAGATGGCTTTTTTATATAGTTCAGTATTCAATGCATGAATACTGAACTATTCTAGTTCTTAAATTGTGATCTAGACTCAAGACTTATTGAACTAGATTGAAGGAACTTTTTGATATCCTACCTGATCTTCACACTGGCAGAAGAAGTGATTGAGCCACATGTTCTAAGGTCATAATCAAAAAGAATGAAAATGAGATCGCCTGATTAATTGTTCACCTTTTCTTCTGGTATATCAGGATAACACTTTAGCTTATGAAGGTATTATTAGTTTAAAATAATTTTTTTAAATTATTGATTCAAATATTGACATTTTGCACATTTTGTACATCATGTAGAGTGGTAGAGTAGGTAACTGCCCAAGTTAAAAAATGGGTTGTTCTTTATTCCTCTTTTGACCACATCTATTTTAAAAAGGTTCTTTTTGGTATCTTTCAAATCCATCCCCTTGTTTTCATCCATGTTGCCACCAACCTAGTGCAGCTATTCCAGCCCTCTCCTGATCGGATTTTAAGCACCTCCCATATGCCCTTGTAGTACACACCACGTTGATCTCAGTAGCATTCATAGTACTGTATTGTAAGTATCTTTTAAATTATGTATCTTTCCTTCTTTTTGAGCTTTTGGGATTGTATCTTATTTATTTCTGTAGTTCTAGAATCTAGCAACATCTTGCCATATTGCTTGTGCTCAACTAATGTTTGTTTAATGCATAATGAACTGAAATAATCATATTACTCCATAGTAAAATGAGGGTGAATTTTTCTACAAATATAATTAAACACCATTTTATCCACCTTTTGGGTTTAGCACATTGGAAATACAGAAGTATAAAGCAGAATGTCAAATGTTTACTGTGGTATTTTGAAATAGACAAAAGCCAGTGTGAAATTTCCATTCGCAATTTCTCTGAGACATCACCTTGAAAAAAAGGTATTTTTCTGTTACTAAAATTATCAAGGAACAATAATTCCACATTTTATAAGAGTATGATCAACACATAACAAATAATGTTGTAATAACACATTAGATAAAAGAGCTTATTTCCCTGAACTTATATGGAGAAAAAAAATCTGAAAATGGACCTTTGTTGTATACAAATGAAATAAACAAAATCCATACTTTTTAAGGTTTAAAAGTTTATGTCAATTTTAGTTTAGGTTTCCATGCTATTCTATTTACTGCATGGGAATTTATAGTAGCTTTCAATATGTGCAAAACAGGCTAGTAGGGCTCATGCTTGTTTACTTCTCTCTAATAGCTTGGCAACTGAGATACTTTAGGGAATATGGATGGGGCTCTTCCATGTCTCAATGTCTTGATTGCCAAAAAATTATAGCAGGCTGGTTCTCAGAATTTTATAGTTAGTTGTTATTATTTAATTTCCCTAGCCACTCGTTCTTTCCTTTTTCTGTAAAGGCTGTGGTTTATGCATAGACCTCACTATTTTAACTCTGTTGTTCTCTTTGTTTTCTCCAGTTCATGGCTCTTCATTATCACTGGTGTCCAGCACTTCTTCTCTTTACTCTACAGTAAGTAATGGCTGTTAAGAGAAGCCTTGTGCTTTTGCCATGCACACAGTTGATGAAATAGATGCTTTTACTGTGAATAGGTCACATTCATCTGTGACTTGTACCCTGGAGCTGTGTAGTGAAATAAGGGCATACTCTAAGCTACTCAATACCCAATAAAGTTCCAGATGCTTCACCAGCCATTCTATGGTCACTTACGTGTGCTTTCACTTGAGTTTTGTGCACTCATTATAATAAATGAATGGATGTAGAATTCAATTTCATAAAACCTATTGAGGTAAGACTTGGAGTCTCTGAAATCATGCAGTCTGTTATAATCTAATTTCATAGTCGATGTTTTGTTCTCTCAGCCATGACCGCTAATTGTTCTATAGTATTTTCTCCTCATTTATAATTTTTAAGTTTATTATTGAGAGAATTATTGAAGGGTAAAAGCAGTAAAAGTAAGGGTAAAAGTCTAAAAGAACTAGAGATTTTTTTAAATACACCTTTTGAAAAAGGGTGATTTTTAAAACTTTTTTTTTTGAGTGGAGGTCTTGCTTTGTCACTGAGGCTGGAGTGCAATGACCATAGTTCACTGCAGCCTTGAATTCCTGGCCTCAAGTTATCCTTCTGCCTCAGCCTACCAAGTAGCTAGGACTACAGGCATGCACCACCATGCCCAGCTAATTTTTAAATTGTTATAGAGACAAGGTCTTGCTATGTTGCCCAAGCCAATCAATATCATGGCCTCAAGCAATTCCTCCTTGTTTGGCCTTCCAAAGTGCTGGGATTATAGGTGTTAATGAGCACACTTGGCCAGAAACTTTATTTGTTAAAAGTAGAGTACCAGTGTTTCAACTTCTTTTGCCAGTGTGTGAAATTATAATTCATTTTTGCCAAGAAGAGATTTTGTTTGTTAAATACTATTATGTCTTTTTTTTAAAAAAAAAAAAAAAAAAAAAAAAAAGCAGGCTACAGGAAGCTATGTTTTATGAGTGAGTCACTTTAGAGCTGGTTAACAGTGAGGTGTATTTAAAAGCAGCTTACTGAATCTCAGTGAGACTTGAATACTATGAATAAGCCTTAATCCTGTATTGTAAGGTTCATGAAAAGTTCATAGCCTCTGCTGTCACTGATTAACTGAGCATCATGGGCGATAATCTTTTTACTCATTTTCATTAGGTTCAAATGTTATAGCCTTCTGTTTATAGGTTAATCTCATGTATTTACTGTCATACATAGTCATCCAAAATCAGACTGTTATTAGCAGAGGTAATACTTTGCTTAGTTTTCCTTTCAATGATTAAAATTGCCAGTAGCTTCTAGAAATTAAGGAATCACTATTAGAGTTTAGGTAAATGTACTTTTTGTGCAAATGGATAAAGTGAAGAGTGTATAAACATGCCTGGAAAAAAATGCGTAAAAGAAATATATTATGACTTAGTGTTCCTCCTGTTGGGCCAGTACTGCCGTTTGTTGGTGAATTGTATTCTGATTTAAACTATTGCCATTTAAATCTCTATGTAACATCAAAACATGTAGCATCATTATCATTTTATTATAAATATACACAATAATAAATATTTGAATAAAATTACCTTTATGAAACCTAATAAAAACTTGAAAAGGAAGGAAGGAAGAAAGAGAAAGAAAGAAATAAAAAAAGAAACAGAAGAAATAAGATCTAGTGTCTAGTAGCACAATAGAGTGACGATAGTTAAAAATTTATTGTATATTTCAAAATAGCTAGAAAAGAAGATTTGGAATATTCCTAACATGAAGAAATGATATTCTTCCTAAATGAAGAATGGGATATCCAACCTACCCAGATTTGATCATTACACACTGTATTCTTGTACAATACCACATCCGCCCCATAAATATGTACAACTGTTGTGTATCCCAAAATTAAAGTTTTTTTTTTTTTGAAAAATTTATTCTTCAAGAAAAGGATCATGAGTTTGAGGAAAAACAGATGACTGGTCTACCAGTGTCCAGTAGGTCTTTCTGTATTAATAAAAGTGTTCTGTATCTACACTATCTAATATAGTAACTACTAGTCACATATTGCTATTATTTGAAGTGTGTCTGGCACACAGAGGAATTCATTTTTTTTTTGAATTAATTAAAATTTAAATTGGCACATGTGCCTAGCAGCTACTAGGTTGGATAGTGCAAGCTTATAGAGAACCCAAGGGGTACGTTTGTAGATAGGAGTGGGATGCCAAAACAATGAGGGTAATTAGAAAGCATACATGAGAAGTATTATATTAAGAGTAGAATATGAAATGGGAAGAGAGATTAAAATAGAATATGTACATATATTTATAGGCCAACATATGGAGGTAAGATGGATCCTAGCTTTAAGTGAGTAAAGAATGGATTACATGATCGAGCCACATGAGCAGTGATACTATTAGAAAATTAAAAGAGTTGTATATGAGGTGATGAAAATGATATATTTGAATTGACAAGTAAACTTTAGTAAAGTAATTTAAATAAATGCATACTTGGGAAACTACTAAAACGAAAAATAATAAAAGATGAGGAGTCATTCTTTCCCCAGTCCTCCGTGATCAGGAACTGGGATTTAATTGGCAGTGAGAAAATATCCATGAAAATGCTTTTTAAACTATGAGATGAAAAAGCAACTTATTATTTTTCATACCTTCTTAATAAGTCTGGATAGAGATTTAGTTGATTAGCATTCTTGCCTGGTTCAATCAGGTGACATCCGGCATGTTGCCAAATTTCTTTGGACTATACCTATAAAATAAAATTTGAAAACATTTGCTAGATCTATCCCATTTGTCACAGGACATCTGCAAACTGGTTGGAAATCACAAGCTTAACCTGATCTGCTAGAGGTGTTACCTTTGGCAAACTTATGGTTTGTGTGTTTGTTTTGAAATCTAAGATCAGGCGCGGTGGCTCATGCCTGTAATCTCAACACTTTGAGAGGCCGAGGCGGGTGAATCACTTGAGGTTAGGAGTTTGACACCAGCGTGGCCAACATGGCAAAGCCACATCTCTACTAAAAATTCAAAAATTAGCCTGGCGTGGTGGTGCATGTCTGTAATCCCAGCTACTTGGGAAGTAGGGGCAGGAGAATCACTTGAACCCAGGAAGCCTAGGCTGCAGTGAGCTGAGATGGTGCCACTGCACTCCAGCCTTCGTGACAGAGCCAGACACCATCTCAAAAAGAAAAAAAAAAAAAAAAGAAAAAAAAAAAAAGGAAGGTAGCGGGAGAGGGTCTCTAAGCCAACACTGTAAAATATTGTGAAATGTGGAGCTTTTAACTAAAAATTTGAAATTTGAAATTCTTTTTTAAAATAATGGGAATATCCGTGGAATATCTAGCAACACTAAAATGCAATTCCTCTGGGTTTTTAGTAATCTGGAATTGACCCTTTTAGATGTTGGCATGGGCTCTCAGGAAGCCACAGCCCCCACCTTTGCTTTTCTTCCTGACAATGAAGCTAAGTTTGGGTGGCTACTTACCATTGTGCTGCTGTTTTCCTCATGAGAAAAAAATACCCCTTGCTATCTATATTGCTATCAAATGGGAAAATGAAAGACAGCCAAAGAAGGCCCTGTGACTTTTTAAATATCTAAAGCCCATTTATTCTTTATAAGCCTTATCCTGGTAGGCATTTAAATTTTTGATCCCTGCAATAGATGTTTTTTGGTTAACTGTATATTAAAAACTTTATTTAACTTGTTTTGTATTTGAAATCTGATTTGTATTTTTTTTATGAGAGAAAGTGTCATTTTTTATTCATTGTGGATCCTTTAACATTATTGCCTAACACATACCTAAAACTAAAGTCCTAATTTTTCATTAATAAATTTGAATGGATAAATGGCTACTTATTGGCTTATAGAATAAAGAATTAATGGATACGTTTTTATTCAGTCAAGCATTTTATATTTTTTATCATTCTTTGGGACATTTAGCTTGCTCAAAACCATTGTAAAAAATGACAAATGATTCATTCTACGCCTAAGCCACTGAAAAAATATATTAATATTTTGTCTCATTGCTTCATTTTTATGGTAACACCTACCTGGTATTAATAACCACAGAGTATGAAAGAAGGCAAGGGTTAAAGCAAACAATAGTTTTGAAAAATTGGTAGTGAGAAAAGTCATGCTATATAGTATATATAGAATTAATATTTAATGATTATGCTTGCTACTAGTATATGTAACAGAACTACTATAGTTTAATAAAAATGTGGAGTATATTTCTTGATTATTTTTTAAAAAGAATACATTATTATAAAAAAATGAATCATTTATTGATTCTTCAGTCTTTACCAGCCTTCTATAATTCTAGAAAGCCTAGAAGCAGGATTGGGCAGAATAAACTGACAAAAACATGCAAAGTAAGCTGAGCACCATGGGCTGCAGTGAGCCGTGAATGTGCCTGTGCACCTGAGTGACAGATCAAGATCCTGTCTCAAAAAAAAAGAGAGAGAGAGAGAAAGAAAAACAACAAAAACAAAACCAAAGTACTAGGGAAAACTAATAGACATAGTTACATAGTTAATTGTGCCATATGTTTTAAGGCCATGAAACTTTCATCTTAAAATTTGTTGCTAACTTTTTATTCGAATACCAAACTATGTATAAAACCTTAAAATCATTAGGATCTAAAAAATAAAATCTTTTCTTACAAATCTAAAGTTGAGGTATAAATTATTCAAGATTCATGTCAACATTGCTTTTTAAAAGTTTTCTTATAAAGGCTAATAGGATTCTACCACTTAGCCACTTTATTATTTAGCTACTACATTATCAAGTTTACATTTTTCTTAAGGTAGAGAAAATATAAGGAAGATATAACTCAGGTTAAAAGAGTTGCTGGCAAATAAAATGTGTCCTGATCATTAGGCTACTTTGCTTTATGTTTTCTAGAAGGAAAAGCTATAAAAAACACTTCAGGTACTTTTGTATCAATTAATCTAGAAGTATCCCCAAAATAGACCTAAAAGATAAGAGATTGTTTTTCAGCTTTGGATCCGCTTATGGCAATAAGCAGACTTGCACTATTCAACAAGATTATATGTTCTTCAGCTTTTCCCAGAATAAGGGAGCTTCCTAAATGTAATGGTGCATATAACTCATTTTCTGGCATTTTGCAGCCCAGCATGGAGAAGAAAAAGCTAGGAGTTTTCTGGAACTCAAGTCAAAAACACCCTACAAATTCCTATGGCAGTCCTTCTTTCCATAAGCCGCATAGCCAAAAATGTTTGTCAGACACTTTTATCACTGGGTGTTTCAGTGTTTTATTCTTTTGCTGACCTCTGACCCATTAAAATTATTAGTAATTATTAAAGAAAGGAAGAAAATAGAAACAAACAATGTTAATTATCTGTGGTTATCAGTAGAGGTCTGTATGTTACCCCAGCTTTACTTGGCATTGTTTACGATCAGTAAATCAAAGAATAAAATTCTGACGTCTAAACCTTGGCTAGAGATCTCTATAATTTTATGGAGTCTGTTTCCTACAAATTGTATGAAAGATACCTACTTAAATATTTTAAGTTTTCATTCACCCACATTTTTTAGAGTATAATTTTATAACTATTTGGTATATGTTGCTTATGATTTCGATATTAGAGTCTTAATTCTATCTTTTGCTTAAAGGAATATTATATATCTCTGGATCAAATGCCCTATATTTTAAGAATATCTTATGGTTTATATATTAAGAAACATTTATTTTAAATTCTAAAGTAACTTGTTTATACTATTTCAATTGAATAACTTTATGTATTTCATTCCATTCTCATAGTAGATAATTTAAAAATATATAACTATTTTATTCATTTATACTTGTGAAAAAAATTGAAAATACTTTTTGTAGTTAAAATCTTTCTTTTTATTGTTTTACAGGCTGAAGAAAAGGCTCATTCAGAGGTAAACAAAATATTGGAATATTTTAATATTTACTATTTTAGTTTGCATTCATGATGAAATTAGTGTTGTTACCACTAGAGGGCTCTGTGATACAATAGCAGAACTCTACAGGACTGCCGAAGTGATAAATGGTCTTTGATAGCCTCTTAAAAATAAAATGAAAGGAAGTTTGTATAACAAGTTCTGCTGTCACATTCTAGATTGAGTCTTAGCTCAACACCTAATAAGTTTTCTATAATAGTAAGCACTCATTACATCATTGATAAATGAAGGCCTGCGGCCTTCCTATTTTATTACAGCTTTCCCCCACTACCTGTGAGACCATCTACAGAGGCTTAATGGTTGAATCTTAGGATACAAGCCTCCACAACACAGGATACCAGCATCTCAGACTATCTATTCTGTGTCATGATCTTGTTGCGTCTAATTGCTGTTTTATGTCTGGTGTGTCAGCTATTGTTCTAATAACACATATTTCACAAACACATATTTTGTTGCACACATGAACCAATCAGACTGCACCAGGGGAGAATACCATTTTATTTTCCCTTGGTAAAACATTTGTCCTGGCCAAAGAGAGCAGGAGGACTTCAATTATGACTTTATTCAAGGTGAGGTAATGACTGATTGGTTTACACTGAAGCAATCAGACAACAGAGAAAAAAAAAAATGCCTTGAAAGTAGATTTGCAAGAGTACTCCTTTCCTTTGAAGTCTTATTTCGTTAGCCTTTAAAAGTAAAATTTGTGCTGTTTTTAAAAATATTTGAAAAGTATTGATTAAAACAATTTGTCTTTATAATCTCTGAACAAAAAAGTGGATATGATTTTTTAAATCAATATGGTTTTATTTACATCATATGGACATCACAAAGCTTCTAACATTGATCATAGTATAGCTACTGAAGCATGGAAATGCTACATCTATTTGCCTTTGTAAAAGTTATTCAACTCCCTTTTATCATTTATGCTCTATCATGGGTCATGGTTTAAAAAAAATTCAATCACTTTACAGTTCTCTGGATTATATTTTAAAGATACTGGAATCATGTAATAGAGATCATTTATTTTGAGAAGTGCTCTCTGAGTCTGTATTCATTTAAAAATAAAATAGAAAAATATTTTCAGAAAAATATTCAGAAAAATATTTTCTGAAATTATTCATGGTCATTATCTTATACATGTAAAGCAAATGTTATTTTAGACTGGGGTCTCTCTGTTTTGGAAAAAGAAAAGCAGGAATGAAGTAGAATCACATTTGGTAAAATTATATAAATGTCTACTATGTCTGTTTCCAGCTGAGAGTTCTCTTCTTTGTTAGAGTTTTTCAGTGGGCCACCATTTCTTTTCAACAAAATCTAATGTCCAGGGACAAAAACTAGGCAGTTAATAAACTATGTCAAGAATGAGCTTTCAAACTGAGACAGCATTCCAAATGTTCAAGTACAACAATAGAAGACTTGTTTTCAAAGAAATGAGAAGCATCAAAAGTAGAATGTTTAACATCCAAGTAACTAAAATTCCTTGAGACCAGATATGTAGTCGTAGAATCTAGTGTCAGATTGTTATAAATGTTCTATCCATATTAGTCACGACATGAGACATACAGATTAAACTGCAGAAAGGGCTTAAATTAGACTTCAAATATGATATAATATACCATCACCCTTTTCTTTTTCAGTTTTATTGGAGCATGAACTTAACTAAAAAGAAAGACACTTTAGGATATTCATTATACTGGTTTATCTAATTAGTTGCACCTATTATTGCTATTTTCCCCTTATTTTTAAGCTACGGATACGCTATAAAGCATCTATGAGCTAATAATAACTCACTAAATAAAGGCCATGATAATACAGATTTGGGAAGGGTTCTCTGTAGTCATCAAAACTCCAGCCAATAAAATATCAAATGTGAACTGATTAAATGTTGAATTAAGCCCAAGTTTTAGTGACTGAAGGGTATTCTATAGTTTTTGAGATCTTTTCAAACTATGAGAAATTAAAATGTACAGAGGAAAAAAAAAAACACCCTAATATTTTCTGAAAAAGAACATGGAGTATCTTTTACTATATAAGACCAAAAAATACATGTGTGTATATAAATGTATATATGTACACATATGTATATGCACACACACACACACACATACACACACACACACACACACACACACACACACACATATATATATTCAGTTTTTACAAAGAAAATCTTTTCCTACAGTTTTATTACCACAATTTTTCTAGAGGGAGAAGAATCAGTACAGAGGGTAAACTGCTCTTGAGTCATTTACCATTTGAGGGATGGCACATGGCGCAAGTAAGTGTATTTTGATTTGCAGATTTGAGAACCAGCTTTGAAGTTCAACATGTAGCCCTTCCCTTTCGAATGATATTCACTTTTTACTGTGGAGCTAATGTTCATATCTTTTATTTTCAGGAGTTGGTGCTGATACAATGGGGTTTGAATGAGCTATAGTATTTGTTTTCTTGGTTTGAATTCTTGGTTTTAAGTAAAAATCTACTTGCATATTCCATTGATTGTTTTTTATTGCATTCAGCAAATTCATAAGCTGCGGAGAGAACTGGTTGCATCACAAGAAAAAGTTGCTACGCTCACATCTCAGCTTTCAGCAAATGTAAGTCACTTGATTTTTAAATATATTACAACAGATTTTTATACTGTAAAATGGAGTCATTATAGTAATAAACTTACAAACTTTCAGTGCCCTAAATGATACAGCCTTAAATCACTGACTAGTGGGACTCAAAAAAAGTTAACATTTTCTGCATACTCAGTAGTGAAATGTAAACCCAAACTAATGAGGGATGGCAATGTGGTTAAAATGCCCTGTTGTTTCCAACAAGATTGGAAACAACAGTAACAGCCATATGGGTTTCTTCTTTTCTTGTTTGTTATTTTTATTACTCATCATACATAAGATGCTTTGACAATATAGTAGGGGTTGTCAGTGTTTGACTTTAGAAGATAAAATATTCATGTGCCCAGCCTCCTTCATTTCAATATATTGAACAATTAGTTAAGCATCCAGTAAATTCTAAAAGATGAACTTAGGTCTAAATCGGGATAGCTTAGCTATACTGTGGATGAGCCATGGTTCACTCAGAAAAACACGGGCAGCCTTCATAGCAGTTTAAAAGGGCACACTTTTACTGACACCAGAGCAGCCCAGGATGACAGAAATGATGACAATGAAGACCGTCAATTAAATTAACATTTACTGAATATCTTCCACTGTGCCAGGGAGCACTCAGAGTAGATGCAGAATGATAAAGGAGAACATGTGGCACTGTTCCCAGTCCTGAGGAGCAGTGGTGTTAGGAACAGCAGCGAGGGGTAAGGAAATGCCTGCTATTTTGCCATATGTCTTGCCTCTCTCGCTCAACAGTCCTTTGCTCAGTTCTGCTGCAGAGCTTTGGGCCTGCTCTGTGCCTTCTCACCCCTCCTTCCTCTCCTCTACTGAGTTTTTCTATCTCCTAGACAAAACATGATATATCAGGAGTGAGCAGGTGCACGCCCAACAGTGTAAGACTTGAATAAGAGTCATTTAAGAATTTTTTAAAAAGGTTATCATTGTGCAGTATAAATTCTAAGTATTTGTGTCATTGCATTCACAATGTATTCATTTTAGCACTGTATTTGAATTTATTTTCTTTTTGAAATTTGGGAGAATTAATTGGATCTATTCTGTTTATTTTTTATAGATGTTGTTAGAAGATTCCTGAAAATAATAGCAGGTTTTAGAGAATTGTTTAAGCAATACTGGAAAATAACAATATTAACCTTATTGTGTTTTTTAAAGAGATAGTCCAGAGGCAACTGTATATTTTATAGTATAACCTGCACATATAGAAGTATGAAATATTGGCCGGGTGTGGTGGCTCACGCCTGTAATCTAAGAACTTTGGAGGCCAAGGCGTGCAGGTCACCTGAGGTTGGGAGTTCAAGACCAGCCTGACCAACATGGTGAAACCCCATCTTTATTTTTAAAAATAATAAATAAATAAATAAATAAATAAGTACGAAATATTGCTGTCTAGGTTCCTGAATTTGTACTCAGAGGAAGTAGAACAATGAAAATGCCAGAACCTCCTGGGTTATGTTTATCTGCAATAAGGAAGGCTCAATGGCAGACCCTATTTATTAGATTGTCGAGATACATTGCAGATGTCTTGAATTGTACTCAGGGTACAATATATATTTTTAATGTCTCTTGGTTGATCTCATCATATAATGCAGATACTGAAATAGTAAATGACTGCTGGACAGAATGGAAGGTGGGCTAATACTTTCCATTTAAAAAGTAATGATGCTTATTGTATAATAAGAAACAATTAAAATGGTGTTTCACTTTATTTTTTGGTTTTTGTTTTTTTGCCCTGAGAATATCATTCTTACTCATTATTATTGGTTCCTTGTGTATCATTTCAACATTTTTCTATTGTATGCTCATGTATATATACTTAATTCGGATATGCAAAAGCTTACTTACACACACAGACACACACACACATACACACACGGAACCAAATTTTAACATGGGGAATAGTCTTGGGGGTCAACTCTGCGCTACTGTTTGAAAATGGAGAAATAATTTTAGAAAGGTGCCAGCAGTTGGCTACCCACCCCGTCTGCACTAATTATGCATGTCATACTATTTTCACTGATGTGTTTTCATGACTTTAGGGCATGAATTCTCAGCTGGGTGCTGATATGACAACAAAGGGTGAAAATTGGTTCTTGTGTTTTTGTGGGTTAAGTACTCTTTTTATGTGAGAAGCACAGATATACAGACAATACATAAATGAACATACAGCTTTTCTGTGGCTTTAAAATATCATGAGGGAAGAGCACAATTAGGAAAAAAAATGTCTATAATGATTCCCCTGGGGGGCAATAATGAAAAAAAATAAAAGTAAGGAACACAGACTTAGAAGCAGCTGTGCCAATAGATAATTTTATGCCAGTCTTTGTGCGAATTTAAAAAGCGCTAGTCTTGGAGACAAATACCCAAAGTGCTCTAGGTTCCACTCAGCTGTACCTGTTATCATTAGTATTAATTTTTGCACACTGATGGGAGACTGATATATATATATATCCTATTTTTATGCTCTTTTAAACAATTTATAATATAATTTAGAAACCGTCTCAAAACACATCAGATTCTCACAAAAACCTGTACATAGCAGCTTTATTTTTTTAATAGCCAAAAAAAGGAAACAAACAAAAATATCCCTTAGTAGGCGGGTTAATAAATAAATTCTGTTACATCTATATCATGGACTACTACCCAGCAATACAAAGGAATGACTACTGATAGATACATGCATCAACTTGGATGGATCCCAAGGGCATTATGCTGAGTGAAAAAAGCCAGTTATAGAAGGTCAAATTTTGTATAATTCCATTTATATAACATTCCGGAAATGGCAAAATTAAAGAAACGGAGAACAGATTAGTGATTGCTAAGGATGGAGGAGAGAGAGAGGTAGCGTGACTATACTAAGAGGGAGATCTTTAGTTTTGTGTCTCGAATGAGATGGCCATTACATGAATCCACATATATGAATCTATTAATGTAAATCAATATTGCATTCCCAGCTTTGATATATAATATAATTATATAAGATATATGATCATTGGGCAAAACTGGATGAAGAATACAAGGGACCTATCTGTACTATCTTTTCAACTTCTTGTGTATATAATTATTTCAAACTGAAATATAAGTCACCTGAAGATCTAACACAGTTCTTTTGAAAAAATATCTTATTTTTAGTTTCCCAGGTGTTTCAACCTTAATCCATTATTTAGTGTTTCTTTATTTGGTAGTGATAGGGACTGTCAAAGCTTTTTATCTCCAAGTAAATTTACTAAGAATAGGAAAATGTTTTACATTGTAAAAATGCACAAATTGAATGAGAGTCAAAAAGTACAGGTAATGAAGGTATGGATTACCGTCTACTTTGTTAACAAAATAGTTTATTAAAATTCCATTTTAGACTAAATATTGCAGTATCTGGGAAGTTGTATAAATGGATATGTATGTAAATGATTATAAAACAATTTTAATATCAGTTCTAGTTTAAACATTTTAATAATATTGTTATAAATACTGGGGTATAATTTTGTATATTTCTGGCCACTTGTGTTCTTAAGGAAATAATCTATTTTACACATTCAGGAATTTGAATTACTTGCAAGTCACCTATTAACTACAAGTCATTTTAAATTTATTCATTTTCTTTGTGTTTGGTTTGTAATGTCATTTTAGATTTCATACATCATAATGAGCCATCAAATAATTTAGTTAATACTTGATTTTTCCTCACTCATAAGAAGTGGTGTGTTTAAATTTCATTCAGAGTGTTTCATTTCACCTGAGTTAATATCTGTTAATGTATGTAATATACACATATATTTTTAACATGCATGTACTTAAATTGATTATAGGGATTTGATAAAATTATTTATTTATAGGATTTTAAATATAATCAATGATTATTTTAAATGTACAGTTCCCATTTGAAAATAGAAGTCCTTGTTTAATAGTTTGTTCACAGTACAAGTGAACTTTTTACCTTTTGGTTAAATGTGAGTGCAGCCTCCACAATGAGAAATTGTTATATTAAAAATCTAATAGCTATAATTTATAGGGATGAATTTCAATGAGTTTGGTTCTATGAAAAAATGAGATGTTTCTAATGGCATTTTTAAGTATCAAATATTCATCTTTACTCGGTATATGAAATATTCTATCATAACTTACACACTTTTATTTGGGGTATTTTTGATACATTAATTTGTATATCACACATTTGAACTTGGCATAATTACATTTATATGGATTCCAAACAATAATCTGTATTTTAAGTTTTAAATCTGAAATGCATCTGTGTCTCTGCTAAAATGCATTTCTTTCCCTTTGCTCAAATGGAGAATGGTAAGTCAAAAGCATATCTAGTTAGCTCACCTCTCATTTGACTGGCAGAGTAAAGCCTCCATTCAGTAGAATGTATATTAAGTTTTCCCTTCCTTTTGTAAAGTTGTTCTGAACAGAGCTGCATAAAACCACATGAAAAGTGTTAAGCTGATTCTACTAACATGTTCTTAGAAAGGAGAGCAGGTATATTGGCAGGTGCTATTGCCTGGCTTCCTGATCAATAACCTACCAACAAACAGAAAGAAAATAGAAGCCATACATGAAAAGGCAGCTGTAGATGCTTGGTCATGGCGCACAATAAGCCAGGTAGCCGCTGGCCTCGTGCCCACACCTTTAGGCAGCTGGGTCAGGTGCGATGCTTTTGTTTGCCTTTTAACATGTTTTCTTTACAAATCTCAGCCGTTACATTATTTGGAAATGGACACCAAGGCTAGTTATTACTAATATTTTTCAAAGACGTTACTGAATGAATGTGAAAGAAAACAAAAGGTGCTTTTTTTTGCCTTTCAGCAGATAAGTCTTTTAACCAAAAATCTCTTGGGTATTATTTTCTTTGAGATTGTGTTCTACTTCTTTGCTTATTTAATACATTCATATAATCTGCTAGTTACTCTTACTCTTTTGCATCTCTTCTAAGGGAAATCTATTTTGTACATATTAATGACAAACACTTC